ATGCAGGCTTGATAGTCTGTTCCCACTCTAGAGCATGTTTGAAGAGCTTTGAGAAAGAACGCAGATACATAAACAGGCCAGTTTGTAACTGTGAGGGTTACAGCCAAGTTTACAGTCCATCCACACAAAAACACACACACACAAAGTTGTCAAGCAAACAGCCCCGTCTGTGAGTCAGTGTTAACACATGCAGAGGCTCAGTTACAGCGCTGTGAGAGGAACTTTGAGTGACTTGAAGGAAGTTTTCTACATGGTTTTGGTTTACTTGAGACAGCAAATGAGATAAACCTGGAAACTTCACACACAAAGAGCATTGATAAAACACTGACACATCCCAGAATGTTGTTTGTTACATTTTTTTCAACCTGAAATCTGATTTAATAATGGCATCCTGACATGAAAAAGCCAGAAAACCAGAACAAAGAAACCTCAGAGGATCTGCAGTCAGGTAGGACTCATTTTCGGAAGTGTGCAGGCAAAAACAAACCCTGTTACAGTCACCCTTAGCTAACCGATACTTGAAATACACTCAATTTTATTAATGACTTGTAAAACTCATAAAGTTGTGACCATATCGAGGCTGGGTGCTACTGGTTTACTATCATATAAAACAAAAAGATTACAGCCAAATAAGCATGTTTTTCTACATCAGAAATGCAACTATTAACCAAGCAAGTATTAAAGGAAGACATACAGAAAATAAAAACTAATATATATATATATATATATATATATATATATATAGTATATTGATAGAAGCACTTTGCTGTGGTCACTTATTGTCATACCTATTGATGCTGACGAACGTTCTCTAAGTAAAATCACTTGATCAAGCACACGCTACAAAATAAGCAGTAAAAAGTATGTATGATTCATACTGAATCAATCTCAAAGCTGGAATATCAGTATCGTATCAGAATCAACGGGGGGATTATTGAATTAGCTTGCTACTTAAACGACACGTTGCAACATGTTTCTACATCTAGGATAGTTTTACTGCGCTATACTTACATATACCTGTATATTTATGTGAGTAATCATTTCTAAACGTCACACTACCCCTAAATGTGTACAATTCCTGAGCATTCATATCTGGTTACTTCATTAAATAATAAAGAAAAATGTTTTAAAGAAAAATATTTCTACAGACGTATAAACAGATCTTTGGTTTGTAAAAAGCTTCACTGTTGAGCCTGGTCTCCCTTTTGTAGTGAAATCTGTTCCTGTAAGATGTTTGCTCTTTTCTACATTTCATACTATCTAACCTTTCCCCGACCTGAATACCTTCTCAACCTGACATTAGTTAAATGGCTTTTATACGAGTCAAGATGTGGGTCAAGCATCTTTGTGGGAAGAAGGCAAAATCTGACATTTTTAAACTAAAATACTCCTTTAACATCAGTTAAAAGTGAAAACCTTGTTCTGAAAGCTGTAGCCACTCCTGAGCTATAGTATATAATGTTTATTATTATCTTAAAGACCTTCTTGGCTTTCATTTAGACATGATCTAGTTCTCCCTTGGTCAACACAGATAAAACAAATAAAAAAATTATTTATCTTAAAGTTTTTTTTAACTTCATGAGCTGAGAACGTTAAGTGCGCTGCATTTAGCATCCAGTCTCTGGCTCTAAACTCATGATCGCTCCAGTGTCAATCTTCTGCAGCAGAAATACTTAAAATCCAAATAAAACTCACTGAAGCTTGTTCTAATTTAACTAATTCCGGAAAATATAAAAAAGAGTGGAACATTTTCTCCAAGGCACTACAATCTTAGGATCTGTTACAAACCGGAAACACAAAACAAAACCCTGCTGAAAATTAAAAACAGGCATGACATCTGCTATTAGGACAAAGCTTTGCATTATTCTATTCATTTTTTTTTAAATCGGGTTGGGTACCGTCTCTAGCACTAAGAGGGTTTAGGAAATGACATCAGACAAGTCTGATATCATTGTTGTAAGCCTTTGTAGCCAACAGAAGAGATTAATGCTGATAAGAAGAGTTTAATCTTTTCCTGGATGCTTCCCAGATAGGACCACTCCATTTTCAGGGAAACTGCAGAAATTGGCTCATTGGATCAAAGCATTATCTATAAACATCTCATTCAGATTAGAAAGCATGCCACACAGGGACGCACATATAGACCAGTCTGACTCTTTCGCCAGATAACCACCCCAGAGTCATGTCATTATAGCAGGGAAGTGGAACAACCGCATGAATCACTACTTTTACCTTTTTATTTTTGCAAACATTCATTCTCACCAGTCTGTTTAGCTTGAGCAACCTTCCATTTTAGTTGCTATTTAAAATCTCGACTTGCTCCAATCTGTATTTATGAACAGTTTTGCTATTTGGAAAATTTTCTATCAACACTTTGTAGTTATAAACAGGTTAACAATCAGTGTTTATAGATTCAGCTGAGAGCAGCGCATCAACTGGATGATAATAAAACTATAAACTGAGAAGTTCAAGGAATAATCTGGCTTCTATTTAGGATTAAAGTTCAGAGATCTGCATGAAAAAGACAAACATTAACTAAGACATTTTAAACAAAGCTCTAAACATCTTGATCAGTGGTTGTTTGTTTCCATCAGACTGTCCTCTGGATTCTGCTGAAAGAGGATTGTTAATGTTATGCAGACACACTGGGAGTGCTTTGATAAACTCTTAAAGGCACTTAAATGCTTCGTCTCTATTTAGTACAGAAAAAGAAGTGCAGAGTGGGGATCATTTTAGGCCTCTGATCCAAATCCAATCTTTTAACCTCAAATCAAATCCTATTTCAAGTCCCTATCTGATATTTTGCCTTTGGTAATGAAATTTATAAAACTCAAATATATTTTGAGCAAGTAACTTAACTTTTTATTAAACTAATAATTTCATTTTATTATTGTAAATCCTTAGAAATCAAAATCTTACAGATTTAGAATCTTACAAAGGGCAGACTCAAAGTTCAGACTTCATTAAATATTTCAGACAAAAGTAAAAATCAAAGCACGGACTTGGTACAGCATGGCTTGTCTGACATGTTTTGCTATGAGCCCAACGCTCATAAATCATAAGTTTTGGGATCAACCAGTGTGCCGTGAAGCTCAGTAGGGACATTGGGTAAACGTCTGCGCTCCCAATATCCGTAATGAAACTAACAGCAACAATCCGCTTCAAGGGACATTGTATTGTTTCTTTTACTTTATCTCGAAGGCAGAGCGTAGCACGGGTCCAAAACTTCCAGCAGACGCCTAAGTCCGACATTCTCTGCCACTCAGATAGGCTGGTTGTCAACAAAATAAATTTTGACCAACCTTTCTGTAATTGTCTTTGCCCTCTTGTTTTCAATCGAGTATTTGTCTGTCCTCAACAAGTCCAACGTTTGTTGCTTTGCTTTAGCAACCTTTCCATCTGCAGCTTTACATACACATCGTCATGTTTTGTTCTCAGATGACGAATCAAGTTAGTGGTGTTAGATGTAGCTCTAATGCAACCTTCTCTTTAAATTGCCATGTTGCACACATTGCAAGTAGCTTTAGGACGGTCTCTATATCTCTAAGTCATTTATTTTCACCCATCTGACATGTTTGATTTGCATCGCCATGAAGGTTTGTATTGCCCAGCTACCGTAACTAGCGGGTACTTTATGGAAGTTGCCGTAAAGATCGGCACGACTCATCAGCTAATGTGGCTGATCTGATCTTAAGATTCAGGATTGGAATATTCCAAGTTGAGAGTTTGATTTTTCAGCTAATAGGTGACATCCAAATTTAGTCTAACCCAATAAAAAAAAAAAAATTAGTAATCGTTTTCAAATGTGTTCAGAGATCAGGAAACATCTTCCTATATTTAGATTTTATTGCCTTTTTTCACCTTTATTAGCCCAAGGATGAACAACCCTCTCTCTTCTAATATCCATCCTGCTTTCACTGATGATAGATAATAGGTGCATCGCCCTCACATCCATCGTGCTTGCATCCACATGCAGGCTGCCAATATGTGCATCCTCATGTAGGTGGATACACACGTGCACAATTGTGCACGTATTAATGCATCTGAAGGCTAAAAAAACCTCAGTGGTTGTATCCTGGCCAGCAAGGCTGTACACGGTGTATCAATCTGAAAAGGAGCTGGTAGAGCCTGATCTCTCTGGTAGGCCTAACGGAGTCAGGGGAAACAGTTTAGAACTGATCACAATATAAACCATAATTTTATGGAAAAGTTGTTACAGCAGCCAATTA